AGCCAATTCATTTATTTCCCTTCTTTTGTGACTTTTTTCTTTTTGTCTTTTTGAGTAAGGGTCTCCACTGTGCAGTTCAGGCTGGCCTTGAGCTCACTCTGTAGCCCAGGCTGGTCTCGAACTCTCAGCCATCCTCCTGTCTCAGCTTCTCAATTACAGGCATAAGCCACCACAACCAGCTACCTTTTGTGACTGTTAATGGTCAAGTAGGCATAAAGGATCTGTATATCCCAGTTATCTTCCTCAGATATTTACATATAAATATACACGCAGGCATACGCGTGCACACACACACACACACACACACACACACACCCTGATGGTGATGCTCCAGCTGATGGTAAGAGCTACTTTGGAGCAAAATACTGTATTAACAAGTTTTCCTAATCAATGTTGAAAGGTTTTTGTTTTTAGAACCTTAAAAGAAATAAAGCTTGAATCCTTCTGGTCCCCAGCAACGTCTTTGCCTCTTTATGCTCTCACGATCTTAAAATACTGTCAACAATGTTTAAACTGAAATCTAGTACATTTTAAGTTTTCTTTGAATTTATATCAAGTCGCCAACACTGTCTTCTTTAAAAATTTAATAGCAAATTAATTTCTTTTAATGCTTATTAAGGCCAATGAAGATGGTTATTTACTATTATGAATTTAGAAGAGGAATAGAAATTGAAAAATATCACTTAAGTAACATTTATTGAGAAAACATATAGAACCTTGAATGTTTCTGCTGAAATTAGTTTCTCCTGTGTATTTCAGCTATGGGTAACATATAGAGGAAGCAAAAGGAGAATCAGATCTGCCAGGTCTGTTCTGCAGTTCTGAAAGTTTCGGACTGAACTGCTGTAAGTCTGGGAAATTTGGGTGGGGGAGAGGAAAGGAAGAAAAGTCATAGGTCATCTCTTCCATTTGTACAAAATTAAATTTCCTATTCTGTAGGCAACAGATAGGACAGCTGTAGTACATCCTGCTGCACACACTGACTAGAGGTGTCAAAGAGTGAGAGAGAAAGGATGGGCAGGGGCTTCACCTGCCAAGGCCCAGTCCTGGGGTTAACAGCTGCAACATGCTGAGGTAGCCTCAGAAACTGAAGGAGTAAATGGCTGTCGTTATCATAAGTCTTAGAGAAGGATGAAATAAAAAAGCTGACAGAAGGGTCCCACGCACAGGCAGTGAGGTGCTTCAAATGCACTCCCTGCCTTCCACGTGTAGAGGGAATGGGCAGCTGACTGGCCATGTCAGCTGGATGTCTGGGTCCCTGGGCCTCCCTCGGGTTCCCTCCTTAGTCTGTGCAGGAACTTAACAGTGCCAGTGGATTTTTAAAGGAAATTAAGAGCAAAGTAAAGCTTTCATGGAAAACAGTTGAATGAAAGTCATTGTACCACAGTTAATATTTCATTTTAAATTTTCTTACAGCTGAAATGTGAATGGTTCTCATAGTGGTGAGACAGCTTAATTAGCATGGCCAATACAGTGTAGAGAGTGTTCCAGGTTTTAATAAAGCCAGAATGACAAGACAGTACAACTGATAGCAGGGAAAACTGGCAGTCCTATAAACTGGGAGTCCTATAAACTCTCTCTCTGCCTGGCTCCTCCCCCAGCTCTTTCTCCCTGTCTAATGGGCTTGAACCTAAATTCTTGCACATATCAGGAAAGTACTCTACCACTAAGCTGTGTCTCCAGCCCTGTAAAGAAAGGCAATAGGAGTAGAATGGTTAAATACTAGAAAAGAACAACACTGAAGGATTTATACTACCTGATTTTTTTATAAAGCTACAACACTAGAAAAAAGACTGATATATATAGATCAATGGAGTAGAAAAGACAGTTTAGAAATAAACCCACATATACCTGGCAAATTGATTTTTCAATAGAGTAAAAGGCAATTAATCCATGTCCTTAATAAGAATTAACTCACAATGGATCCGTGGTTGCCAAGAGACGTGGCAGGCTTTTGAGGGAGGCAATAGTAATGCCCCATACCTTGACTGTGGAGGTGGTTGTCAAAATTCACAGAAGGTGAATTTTATGACAAATTATTTTTTAAAAAGGAAAAAATTTGCCTTAGTGCTGAGTTCTATCTATGAAGAAAAACATCTAATTAGTAATATCTAGGCAGTAAGACATAAGTAATTATGAGTTAGTTATTGACCAGAACATAATTGAGTGAGAGAAAAAAAACTAGAGTCCTGAAATGTAACACTTTATCCGCATTTTAAAGGGTCACCCACTTACATTTGAATATAGTCTAGAATGTGCTGGGAATCAGGAGACACGTTTTTCCTTTCCTGAATACAAATAAGGAAGTGGTTTTAATGACTGATTAGTGAAATTTTTAGTCCAGAGACCATACTAAATATCTTTAAGTCCTGCAGACATCTCCAACTCCAACAATGAGTTCTCTTAATCCCCAATCTGTTCTTTGTTTACTGCTCTCTTAGAAAAGAGTACCACCATCCATGTGGTGGCTTACTAAAGAAATCTGGGCGCTGTCTCTGACTCCTCCCTTGATCTTTCCTCTTCCACTCAACAAATTAACATCAGCAAGTTGTGACAATCCTACTCCTTATACACAGCATCTCTGCTGGGAATCAGGAAAGCGCACAGAAGCAGAAATTGAACCTGCCTGGAGCTGGAGGTTGGGTGTGGTATTAGACAAAGCCAGTCAGGTAAACAGGGACCGTGATAATTAGCTGATGCTTGAGCTCACTTCAAACACATCTCACGTAAGTTCATTCTCCCTGTCCTACTTCTACCATCCTAGTACCAATTACTTCTCCCCTCTGAAGACCTCAATAATTTCTGCTCTCCCTATATCCATTCTTATTTCCATTTCAGTTCATTTTTCTGCATTAGACTGTTCTTTTAAATATACTGTGCTGTTCTGAAAACAAAACAAAACAAAAAACAACCCAAGAGATTCTGGTAAGGCTTTAACATTTCTTCCTTAAAATCTTCCAAGTCTTCCCTGTTCTTTCGGTACAAACATCAACTAACTGCCGAGGTCCCTGATTTCCTGCCTAGCCTCCTCCTGGGCACTCCTTTGTCCTCCAGATCCAGCCGCGGGCAGCCTCTTGCGGCTCCACAGCACTGATGCTACTTGTTGCACAGAAGGCTCCATTTGCCGGCAGCTTCTTTCACCTACCCTTGCATCTAAGCTTGTCTTGCTCACTGCTGTTTTCCTTCAGAGGCAGCCAACATAAAACTCCCAGAAAGCCTTCCAGGATCCCTCAAGCCTGGTGTGGGCACACTCATTACACACTCTTACAGCACTGTTCATCTGTAAGTACTTGGGATGCAATAAAAAGTACACACTTGGACCTGGCCCAGGTTACTGGCACAGACCTCTTAAAATGCCTGCAATCTCTTGAGCGAGGGAAGTCTTTTTTGTTTGCTAATGAGACGACTAGTGGAAAGGGACCTCTAGACAGCTTTAGGATGAGAACTACTTGCCAGAAAGACCAAGCCCTGAGTAGAGATTTCAAATTGTTAGCCCCATCCTGGACCTCTGAGTAGGCAGAGGGCTGGAGACTGAGTTCAGTCACAATGATTTAATGAAATACGCGTACATAAAGCAACCCCTAACTAACGGCATCTGAGGAGCTTCAGGATTGATGGAGACACTGACAGAATGGGAAAACGTGGGCCTTGAGAGGTGATGGAATGTCTGCTACCCCTCATGCCCACCTGAGCTTTTTCTATGTATCTCTTCCTTTGGCTGCTGTTGAGTGGTATCCTCTATAGCAATGATAAATATATACAAAGCATTTTCCTGAGTTCTATGAGCTGTACTAGTGAATATCAAGGTTGGAGGTCTGGGGAGTCCTGAATTTATAGTTGGGTTGTACAGAAGTACCATCCTATTTATATCATCTGACATGAGGGTAGTCTTATGGGTCTGAACCCACAAGCCATGAGATCTCTAACTTTAGGTAGTTACTTTGAGAACTGAATTACTGGACACTCAGCTGACGTTCAGAGAATTGAAAGAAACTGTTTCAGAATTAATGTTGGAAAAAGACACCACACATTTGGAATTAGAAAAAACCCGAGAGTCCCATTCTTAACATCCGTAGATAATTTCAGACTAAGTTCTACATGTTTATCCTGGCTACCATTACATCCCAAGCACCTAGCACGGTGCCTGGCTCGTATCAACCCGTAATGGGTGATCATACAAAGGACATGCCTATCACGGGGTGCAGAAACGCTATCTGTTCTCTGGGACAGTAACTCGTCATGAGTCTTCCCTGGTTTTGCTCACGATATAAGCTGATGAAACAAAAAAGAGTAACAGGACTACTTTTTCACTATGTGCTGTAACAGTTAACTACAGGATAGTGCAGAAAGGGGTGAGATGCAGCAAACGTGCTAACGCCTTCAAGAAGGTCACAGCTGAGCATTAGGTCAGAGCCCTACTAAGTTCTCCGCATTGAGCCCTTCGTGTTGCCAAGTTCTGTTCACCTAGAAGTTACTAAGCGATAGACTTCAAACTCTGCTCTGCTGCCTTTTAAAAAGTGCTTTAAAAGGAATGGAAATAATCTAGTCTCTTAGGGTCCAAATGCAGTGGAAAACAATACTATGTTAAATCTTTTCAAGCAAGGTATTGAATTGAGGAGACCATGCACAGAGCACATGGGAATGTACCTGTCTAGCATCGGCCTGTAGGAGCGCAGATTCACTCTCAGGTACACAGGCACTGATTAGCACTGTAAGCACTCATCTGCCTGTGCCGACCGGTTACTCTGAAAAACATACTCTTGCTCTCTGACCTACTAGAGCTCACGCTTCTCTCAAGGTCAGACCATGACTCATCTTTCAGTGTTGAGCAGAGGGGAGAGGCTCTTCAAACACTAACTAGGGATGAGGAGGAGATGCCATGCATTTAATGTCCATCAGGTAAATTTGCTGAGATCCACAGGTTGGAAAGAAAATGAGGCCACAACAAAAAACACTGGCAAGAAATGACCACACCCATTTTCCACTGAAACAAGCCTTACCTGGGACGGGGTTATCCTTCCTCGTTTGATTTCCGACAAGTTTTCGCTTAGCTTTCCCACTTTGTTGCTGGAGCTGCATTTGTAGCATGTCCATCTCGTCTGGCCCTCAATTTCTACAGTACATTCTTTGCTTTGTAGACAGAATGAATGATACAAATGGCCACAGCTGTGAAATGAAAGAAACCGATTCATGCCCTTCATGATCATCAAAACCACAAGCTGTGCTAAGAGTGTGCACACACACAGCTAGAGGTTCTAACAAGCTGCGCTGTCCTGCTGGCTGAACAGGGCAAGGAACAGGACAGGAATGTACTGCTGCTGTCCTCTCTTTTGAAAAATCCTGACTCATACATCTGCATCCTTACACTGGGAGAGGAACAGAATCACCGTCCTCTAACTACAAACCACCTGGGAGATAAGCTGAACTTCTGTTCATCCCTTAAGCTATGAAATTTTGGCAGTAGTTTTAGGTAGTGTGAAATAAAAGGTAACTGGAAAAAAATCCTAATTATGTAAGTAGCTTGGTAATAACAAAAGTGGTCTGCCTCATCTAACTCAAGGTAAGAATTACAACTTAATGAAACACTGAGAAAAAGGTCATCGCTCATGCAAATTTTTCTAATACTATGAAGAAAGTCCCTACTGTTTACACCAAATCACTGAGCCTCAGGCTGGGGGTTTAGCTCAGCGGGCTGGGGGTTTAGCTCAGCGGCATAAGCGCCTGCCTTGAAAGCAGGCAGTCGTGAGTTCGATCCCCGGTACCGATAAAAAGGAAAAAGACAAAAAAAAAAAAAAAAAAAAAAAAAATCACTGAGTCTCCCAGAGGCTGAACCCTGAGTGTGATGTTCAGTCACTTTACTGGCTCCTCCTCCTCTCTCCAACCTGAAATGCTGGAGTAGCACACAAGTCAGTCCTTCCCTCTACTGTAATCTTTACATTCTTTTTTCCCTCCACGCTTTTTCATTCTGCATACAGCCTGTCTTCTATAGCCTTCTTTCCTACTTCCCTGCTCGTGTAGTCATAAAGCCACCTAAATGCTTATGACTACCAAATTCCTACCCTCAGCCCTGACCTCTGTTCCAAGCCCTGTCTTTTTGGCTATCTACCAGACACTGTACAGTTAACGTGACCAAAACCACGTTTCTTATTTCCACCCCACTCCACCTGCACTGCACCCTTGCATCCAACCTTCTATGTCTCAATAAATGACAACTCCACTCTTCAGCGTCTCAGCCCAGAGCTCTGGAGTCACCCTTGACTGTCCGCTTTCTTTCACACACCTCCTCTGCAACCAAACCCTATGAGCGCCACCTTCAGAATAGGTCCAGAGTCTTCCTGTTGACTCTTCTGTTATTGCTCACATGGTCTCCTGCAGTAGCCTGACTGGCTACTCTCCTTCCCCTGAGCCCATCCACCGTCCATTTGCAGCACAGAAGGCAGACTGACCTTACACTGTGAGATCAGTCACTCTTAGCCTTCTAAGCCACCCAGCGGCTTCTGTCTCTGAGCAGAAACCTAACTTCCTGCAGTGCTGCTCCTCTGAAGTTTTCTCTTGCTGTCCCCACCCTTCCTGCATGCTCAGGCCCACAGCTCTCTTGCTCGCTGCCCCTCAAGCATGCCGGGAATGCTGCTGCCACACTGTCTCCACACTCGCTGTTCCTCTGCCTGGGCTGCTGTCCCCTGAAACTGCAGGACACTTCCTTAGGTCTCTGACTGTTTCTCAGGTGTCCTCAAGCCATGAATTAGGCATCTCTAACTACTCTTCATAAATTCGTGGTTCCATTCTCTTTCCTCTGCACCATGTTTTATTTTTATGAGTTTAACTACAATTACATTTTTGTTAATTTATAATTGTATCAATTGTTCACAAATAACAGTGGGGTTTTCCTGCCATATACAATATCTGTACCCCAAATTCTCTGTATGTCCCCCAACATGTTTGATTTTCTCCATTATTGCTATTGCTATTGCTGCCTGGCACTTATTTATTTCTCCACTGTCTGGCCCTGCTCCTAGACTATCACCCCACGAGGGCACTTTCTGCATGTCATCCATACCGCCTCCCACCCCCTCGGATAGCACTGGGCGTACAGCAGGTGCTGGATAAACAGCTGCGGCCAAAAGGTCCTCTGTGAGGAGAGCTGCTTCCCCTGAACCTCCAGGTCTGCCAATCTTCCTGCGCAGCTAACATCCGCGTAGTGCTTCCTTATGCCAGGTACTGGTCAAAGTGCCTTACAGAAGCTGCTTATTTGATCTCCATACGACCCTAACATGGAGGTACTATTACCATTTCAATTTACAGATGAGGAAACTACCACATGGAAAGATTAATTAACTAAAGTCTCCTAGCTAGCACAGCTGAGATCGGAATTCAAGAAGTCTGGCTCCAAACTCCCCTTCCCACCGAAAGCAGTCTAGCTCCAGAGCCCCCATGATGTCACCTCTACCCATGCATCACACAAACTGTCCTTGCTCCTGCGAACAGCCCTGTCACCTCCCTTTCTGTACCGTGGCTTAAATACCATGGAAATGCTGATAATTGCTAAATTTACATTTCCAGCCCCAAGAGGTCTGCAGATTTCTGACTGCTCATCAGACAACCGGCTTGGATGTCTACCAGCCCCCTCTAACCTGGCATCTGTAAGGCAAACTTAATGATCGCCCTGGTTCCTCACAGTTTCTCCTCACCTTGGGCAAGGGACCACACTCACCCAGCTGCTCAGCCAAAGACTGTGTGTGTGTCCCCCCTGCCCCCCATCCCTGCCTCCACACCCAATGCACCAGCAAGTAAGCCCTACCCTTAAAATACATTCTGGACCAAATGCCTCTCAGTACCTGTCCCTCATACCTCTCTCATTCTGCCCAAATGTCACCTCCTCAGAGATGTCCTCCCTCACCAGGACTTCTTAAACGAGAATTCTTATCTGGAACACCTCATCCTTCTAGCCGCCTGCTCTAGGTTTCATTTTTCTTCATAGCTCTTAGTATTCTGGACTGACTATCTGAGTCCTCCCCATATAGAATAAGGACCGTGGGGGAAGGCATCTGCCTGTCTAGTTCACTGCTTAAATCTGTGACCGGGGCTGTACATCCAGCTGTATTGCCACTTGGCAACCTCACACGTGTACACACACACCCTGCGGTAACATTTCCTTTCCTCTCTTACCTGAAGACAATGATTTCATCAGCCATTTCTTGGTGTCTCTTGTACTGCTGCAAACATATAGAGCAGTAATCCTGTTTGGGATTCAGCCCTCTAGTGACAGAAGCTCTTAGGTTACATAATGACCAATGGAGATCCTGGTTTAGAAGGCTGGTGGTTGTTTCCAGCAGGGTCTAGGAAAAACCACAACAATAACCACACAAATGGTTACTAAAAACAAGGCAGAGATGGAGAAGAGGACTTATTTTTTCAACTGCCAACAACTGGAATTAATACACTGCAAAGCTGATAAACAGAAAGCTTCACAAGCTTGAACAGTTAATATAAATGTTCAGAGTAATATATATACTAAGATTTTAAAGTCTTGTCACTACTTCCTACTAAGAAACATGTACCATTCTATATCTTAACTCAGTACTGATGATTTTCAAATGAGCAGATAAGCTCAAATCTATTTATTACATTTATACAATAACTTCTGTCTGGAAGGCTCGGACTGTTGTAACAAAAAATGTGTGGAACTCTGGCTTTTTATTGAAACTGCATTCATGGCAGTGTTCTGAGTAACCTTTCACTGGGAAGGGCCATGGTCATTACTCAGTTTCCATGTCCCTTGGGCAGAGATTACAGTTTCTTGATGAGCACGTACAAGTGACCCGAAGCCACTCACGACCCTCACATCTGTCATGAGGTCACCTAAAGACATTTTCACAGCTGCTGTACGAGCGTGTTGGACGGTATTGTCTGTATGTGCACTACTTCTCAACACGCACACATGGCTGCGATACGCAGTCAGGTTCTTTACTGTGCACCGCAAAGAAGATGCAGTTTGCTTCTGCCCGTCCTCCTTGCTACAAAGCTTAGTTCTTTTGCCTGTGTGCAAGAATTTGTTTTAATCATCTACTGCTAATTCTTTCCAGTCAATGCCATCTTCTCCTTTCCTTCTAAAGATTCATAGTTGGCAAAACTTTTCTACCTTGCATTCAGCTTTATGTTGGCCAGTCCGGCATCTGGTGCCTGCAGGGCCGCAAACTTCGCTGGACTGTGCTTAGCAAGACTAACTCTTACAACTTCCAAGGAAAGTTCTCCCTCTCTCTCTCTCTTTTTTCCTTTTTGGTTTATTTTTCTTCTCTAAGAGTCTTAAAATAGCAGTCATTGTACCAAACATGCCTAAATGATACCTTTCCTAAGGAAAAAATCTTCATACCAAACCAGCACCAATAAGCTCCACAAGAACAGAGAGCTACAAGTTACAAGTAATTTTAAATCAAGGGAAGACTAACAACCATTTTTGGTTAGTGACAATGAAATATTTCAGAATATCTAAAAGAATGCTCAGCTTTATTTTACAGTTTTGTATATTCATAGTGACCCTTCCTTTTGATAGGTAATAGTTTATAATCAATTATGCTTTCTAGAAAGTTTCTCATATTGTCATTTTGGGAAGAAGATGCTGGCCTCACTCCCAATGAGCAAAAAATAATACAGTGAATCTGGGATCTCTAATGGATGCAGTTCTATATTTTGGTATCAGCATGTGAATTAAGGTCAAGAGAAATTTTAAGACAGGGAAAACACACATACATCATAACCTCCCTAACTTCCAGTAGAGAGGGGTGTTTTTAATTGAAAAACAGAAGCAAAAGGGAGGGAGCAAGCAAAGCAATGCAAAGAATATGTTGTTTTTTTTCTGTCTTAAGACAGATTCGGATGTAACAAATAGTTTACTCACCTGTTCATAGTTAAAGGTATCTAACATTCCCAGAATAAGGCCCTGGATTTCTCCAAGTTTTCCTTTTCCATAAACTGGATCCTAATTTTAAAAAATCATAATTTTGTTAATGACTCTTGGTACTATAAAGTTACTTTAAGATATAAAATACTAAAAAATACTTGAGTATTATTTTATAGTCAAAAGATGCTTATTCTTCCATGAACTTTCACTGAAAATGCACATGAATCTCTCTGAACACCTCAAATAGTTTGGAAAAGTAAAATTTAGGTTATCTAAATTTCCTCAACATTCTTTACAAGTCTAATCCAACTTCATCCTACTTTTGCTTCTGTAAGATACTTCCTCTGCTTTACATTAAATATCAATTCTTCTTAGAGTTCTTTCTTATCAACTACACTACACCAACCTACTAAGAAATACCAGAATCTGTCCAACAAGCTTCTTTTATGTTTAATACACACCCTTAACTAAGATGGAAACTTAGTTTTGGAGACAAGCAAGACCTAAAACCACACCTTACAGTTTTTAAAAGTTTGTTCAATAAAGGCCCTCCTGATACAGCACAGACACCTAGAACCCCAGGCTTTTCTCCTCTGCTCTTCTACCTGAGGTGCCAACTAACTTGCTTACTATGTTTGAGTTGGAAAACCAAGTGTATTAAAAACAAACAACAACAACAAAAGCCTACACAAAAACGAAACAGACACCCCCCACAAACCAAAATCTAACTTTCCGGAGATAAACACTGTTGGCATGTTGATGTGTACTCTTCTGGTCTTATTTCTGAAGGCAAGAAAAGGATGTATTTCTTAGTGTACAAAATTTGGGTGTTTTATATAATATCTTTTTTAGCTTAATGGTGTATCATAAGTACTTTCCCATATCATCAAGTATTTCTTAGTGGCTGTAGGGTATGAATCATGTGAAGATACCACGATGCCTTAATCATTTCCTGCTGTTAAGCATTTATATTTCCCTTTCACTCAAACCCCACATATTGTCAAATGTTAGTGGCTGTGCATCTTTGTCTGAATCTCTTAGATTTTTTTTTTCTTTCGCGATTTCTAGAAAGGGAATTAGAGACTCAAAGAACATTTTATGGCTATAAATATATATTGCCAAAGTGCTCTTTCCAAAGTTTATTATGCAGTTTTTATCTCCATCAGCATATCTGTGTGCTCATTTTGCTGTACCTTTGGCTAGACTGATAATTATAATTTTAGAAACTGCTAATAAATGAGCATGTTAAGTCTATTCCTTTACTTTTATATGAAGTTATGTGTGATATAAATGAATTTTCCATGCCAGAGAGGAATCCAATTATATAGTAATGCTTAAAGTAGCTATTAAATAGGTAGTATATGCCAAGTACAGTGCTAAACATTTTATATAAACGGCTCTCTGTATCTTTGTGTTTTGCAACTATGAATTCAACTCACCCATACTGAAACTATTAGGAAAAAGTACAACCTATGCCAGACATGTATGGGCTTTCTAACTTGTAATTATTCCCTAAATAACAGAATATCACAACTATTCCCACAGCATTTTACATTGTACTAGGTATTAAAAGTCATCTAGCAGTAACTAAAGTACACAGGAAGATACATAGAGGGAAGCAAAATTTCTATGCCATATTATATAAGGGACTTGAGCATCCACAGATTTTGGTATTTTCAAGAGGTCTGAAGCCAATCCCCATAGATTGGCTGAGTGATAACAGGGTTACTATGTCACTACATTTCTCCAATCTTTTTGGTAGTATTGGGGCTTGAACTCAGGACCACCACACTGAGCTATGTGCCCTGCCCTTTTTATTTTGTGAAAGGTTTTCACTAAGTAACTAAGATGCTTAGGCTGGGCTCAAATTGGCGACCCCTCTACCTCAGCCTCCCCAGAGTGCTGGGATTTTAGGTGTGTAGCACTAAGCCCTAGTCCTTCATCAACTTTAATGAATGAAAATATTGAGGCGTAGAGGGGCTAAGTAAACTCTAAATCACAGAACTGTTAAACAGATAAAATGGGATTTAAACCTAGGTACTTCAGAAACCACATTTGTAAGGGTTTCCCATGTGTATACTGGTCTTCCAAGCACAGACATACAAGCCACTAAATTTTTTTGGAAAATATGGGTAATCAAATAAACTATTATTGGAAAATTCTTGGAAAATATGGATACTGTTTCTGGCTACTTTGTAGGGAATAAGGTTGGTAAAATTTTGGTATTTAAGAATAACTATGAGTTCAGAAACACAAAAGGTTATGGAAGCAGGAAAAACCTGCAGAATCATCTCAGGATCGGCTGATTTAGCTCCTGTGGGCTCCTGATGGCTCAGGAAGCCTGGGCGGTGCAGTTTCTAAGGCAGCCTCCTTTTCACTCTGCCGAGCTTGCCTGGAGGGGTGCAAAGCTGTCTGCCACAGGTTCCTGTGGTCCTTAAGCTACTGAAGTTAGGCTGGAGAAATGAAAGGCACACAATAACTCTGTCCTGTGCACTAATTAACAAACTTAGGAGTAAGGCTTCAACAAGTCATGTAAGCTTAATAGAAAAATTATGCTTCACAGATAGATTACATCTCTAAGCTAAAAACAGAGGAGTGGTGTGAGACTATAGTACTTACAAAAGACAAAATTGTGAACATCTCAGACAAGTCTTTTCTAGAAAAACAATTCAGGATATACACCTGTCACATAATTTCTTCTTTTGTCTTTCTTGCATAAGAACAGAACCACGTTAATGCTTTTCCATCTTTAACTATCCTCTGGTCAAGCTCCCAGTCAGTACACTTATTTTTTAAAGTATTAATGGACAGTGTACTATCTTACTATCAAGAGATCTATTATAGGGACTGGGATTTAGCTCAGCGGCATAAGTACATGCCTTACAAGCAGGTGGTCATGAGTTCGATCCCCAGTACTGATAAAAATGAAAAAGACAAAAAAAAAAAAAAAGAAATTTATTATAACAGTTACTATGATATCTGCATCCACGATTAAGTACCTATAGCTCTGGCATGTGTTTATGACAAGAACGCTTTGGAGAATAAAGATGTCTCCAAAGGTTCAACTCTAGGAAGAAACAATCCTTATAGGATGTATATACATCTCAACACATTTTACTTTAATATACATAATTTAAAAGCAAAACTATGAAAACGACCTCACGCTGGGACAGCATATAAATTATAGAATGTGGAGCGAGCACAGGCTTCTAGCACAGCAGGTATGCCATCTACTAACTCTTCAAATCATTTTCCACAGACGTCAGCTAGGTTCTTTAGCAATGAGTAACTGCTGAGTTTTCTCTTTAACTTGTTTGTAAACTATGGAAAAAGGGCACATCTGGTAACCTACAAAAAATTTTCCAAACGCACATTAGAAAAAGGTGATTACTGTTTTTTTCCTACTGTTTTCTGGTACTTACTGCATCATGTAGGTATGTGATTAGTTTTAAAATGAAAATCTTTACAAATGGCTATTACTTTGAGATATGAATAATGTCATATATATATATATATATATGGATATAGATATACACATACATATATTTATTTGCTTTCATTCCCTCAGTAAGAAACATAAAGGGCTTCTTAGATACTAAGAACTACTTTTACAATAGAATGAAGACAATGTACATAACAAAAATATGGGCCCTTAAAAATTCTCCTTATAAACTAATATTCATTGGAGAAACTGTATAACTGACACCCCAGATATCAGTTTGCACAAATATGCAGACATGAAGAAAATCTCTGAGACTTTACCATATGAACTCCTCTTTTAGAAAATTAACTTTAAAATTTATCTAAGTACCTAAATAACTATCACTCTCTAATTCCTCCCTAAGAAACCTGATATAGGTGATGAAAAAAATCCTGAGTCATGTTAGGTACAGAGGACCTCAAACTAGAATTTGGAAGAGCTGGGTTAATGTTCCAGCTATTCCAGGTTAGTAACTGAATAAACTAAGGCAAGTCATTTAATCTTCCTAAGTGGCAATTTCCTCACTAGAAATATGAAGATTCTGTTACTTAGTGTGTAATAGATTTTTAAAGATATGAACATAAAGTGCTTTATAAACTTCTGAGAACTACTCAAAAACATTAGAGGTTGAGCCAACTAATATTTACCAAGCATATACTATATTCTAGGCACCATGTTTAGGGCTGGAGACAAAGTAGTAAACAACATATGTAGTCTCTGGTTTTAAGAAACACATAGTGTAGGAAATGAGCCATATAAAGGTAGGAATGAAGGGTTCAGTTTGAAGAACGGGGCTGGGCTGAGGGTGAGGCGGCAGGGAAGAAAACTTATTTCTCAAAATACTCTAGGAAATACTCCAGTGAAAAGGATTTAAAGTGGGTTAAACACTGAGAATGCTGCCAGGCATGGTGGTGCACATCAGTAATTCCAGCACTCAGGAGGCTGAGACAGGAGGATTGCTACAAGTTTGAGGCCAGCCGGGGCTATATAATAAGTTTAAGAACAACCTGAACTAAATAACGAGACCCTGTCTCAAAATAAACAAACAAAAATGGGAATGCTTAAGAAAATGATGAAGAATTCTACCAAGTATCTAAGGAAGGAAGTACACCAATACTCTACAACCTATCCCAGAAGTAGAAGCAGAAGGAATGTCTTCTAACTCATCCCATGAGGCCAGTAGCATCCAAACACCAACACCCGCAAAGACATTACAAGAGGGAAAATCTTCAATTTACACATATGTAAACTGAAAAAACTGTCAACAAAAAGCCACCCAATTAATTCTGTTCAATGGTATATAAAAAGTTGGATTTACCCTTGATGTACAAGGTTGATTCAGCATTCAAATGTCAACTAATGTAACACACATTGATAGGCCAAAGAAGAAATGTTATGACATCAGTAGATGCAGAAAAGGTGCTTGAAAATCTAATACCCATTCATGATTAAACAAACTAACTTTCCTTGAACTAAAAATAAATGGAAATTTCCTCAACTTCCCCCTAATATCAAGTACAAGACAAGGATGTCCCCTTATCACACCTCCTCAGTACTGTACGTGAAATCCTAGTCAGTGTAATAAGACAAGAAAAGG